CAGGCAGCAGAGCTCTGAAAAATCAGTTAAAAAACCTGTTAATTATTTTGCTGTGCACCCGTTTTCTCAGTGAAACAGCCCTGATATCAAGTGGCCCCAGAACTCTGCACTGGCCTTTATTTTCAGATTTGCTTTTAGTGGCCACAGTCTCAGCCTGGGGGCTCATTCATCTTCTTTCTTTGACACCAGGGAAGTCGTTTTCCTTTAAGAGGATTTCCATCCCTGAACTCCTCCCATCCTGACACTTCCAAGCTACATTTTGTCTTGAAAGGGTGGGAGTATTTTTAACCATATCACGCCAGGGAAGTATTAATAGCACAATAGGCTGCTGGTAGAGCTGAATCCATATTTTAAATTCAAGGAACTAATTAGGAGCTGGGGGATAATTAGTGTTATACCCAGCTTTCCCCCCCACCCCCCCTTCATTTTCCAAGAGCCAAATGTCTTTACTGGAGTGTTCTGTGGCTGTTGAATATTTGATGGCTTCCCCATGCATCACTATTCCATGTGGTTGTCAAAATCCCACCCTCTTCTGCTCTATCCCAGCTGAAATGGCTGACTCTGACACTTCAGAAATCTAATTAGTGCATCTCCTCTTGGCTCACATGCAAAAAAAACCCCAACCCACCCCACCATCAACTCTTTCTTCGTGCTTCTGCTACCGCCGGGTGCTGCAGCAGTTATTTTTGAACCCTCAGCAGCAAGTTGTTTACCAGCTTCCATGAATAGCAAAGCTCGTGGTGCTCCATATGGGAAATGCAAATTCATGGATTTGGGTTGGGAGCAGAAAGGGAAATCAGTGAGGATGGAGAGAAATGGGCCGAGGCTCCTGGCTCAGTTGGGAGCAGGGAAGAGGGGAAGCAATCCAAGGGGATCCCTGGGCCAGCTTTCCGTGTATGTTTCTGGACTTAGGGAAGGTGGGAACCAGCATCCAGGTACATCTTAGGTTTAGCAGGTAGCTCCCAGGAGAGCACAACTGCATGTTAGTGTCTTGGAGGATCTGCTGTGAAGAAAAGAACCAGCTCTGACATGGTACCAGAAGACAACCAGCTCTGAAATGGTACCTGCTGTGGGGAGTGTCTGTGACAGCTCTTCCAGGCGTGAAGTCTCTGGGCTCTAATAATAGTTGGGCTTGTGCTGAAGCTTCTTCCTCCCTCTTGCCTCTCCCCAGCCATCTGTTTTCAAGAAACTTGTGGAATTCGTGTCGCTGAGCTCTTCTCCATATTTATCAGAGGGGCAGGGACTGGCTCACAAAGCTAAAAGCTGGGAGAGAAGACTGGTCCGAGTAGTTGGATCATGTAAAACCTTGTTTTCTCTGGACACAAAGGATGAAAAACATGCCAGGAGATCTGCCAGCTGGGTGGGAAGGGTATTCTGCTGGTCCTTTGCCCAGGGTGAATCGAAGGCAGAGCTCCATTTTTTAGGAGAAAGACCAGATCTCCTTCCACATCTATCCTGGTTGCAGCCAGGGTGAAGGTGTCCATGTGTGGGTAGCACAGCCATTACTTTGGGGTCTGTCACCATCTCACTGTGCTTTCAAGGAGAGCAAAGTGCTCCTAGGGCCTGTGTTTTTGGTTCATTAGAAACTTATATTATTTTTTTACTCTACTCAGAGCACTCATCACCACAGAACAAGGGCTTGTAGTGAGAGGACAAAGGGGGATGGATTAAAACTGGAGGAGAGGAGATTGAGGTCAGACATGAGGAGGAAATTCTTGGGTGTGAGGGTGGTGAGAGCCTGGCCCAGGTTGCCCAGGGAAGCTGTGGCTGCCCCATCCCTGGCAGTGTTGAAGGGCAGGTTGGATGGGGCTTGGAGCAACCTGGGCTGGTGGGAGGTGTCCCTGCCCATGCAGGGGGTAGGATCTAAATGATCTCTATGGTCCTTCCAACCCAAACCCTTTTATGACAGTATTTAGATAATATGCAGTACAGTCCTATGATTGCATTTGAAGAGGTAAATATGACATTTCAGGGTGATATTACTCCAATGTCAAAGCAATTAACTCATATTTTAATTTCTCTGGCTGCAGGTGCAATGACCATGTGTGGTCAGTGCTTTTACCTGTCTCATTTTATGGAGGAATTAAGTGAGTTGGAGTGAATTTCTCCAGCAAACCAAACCAGCAAAGGGAGCCAGGCACCCTGTCTGACTCAAAACAATTAAACCCTTTCAAACAAGTGCAAATTTGCTCCGAAGGGAACATTTCCTTAATGGTGTTTTCCAGCGTAAATATAGTATCAACCTAAACACCCCCAAGTAAACAAGTATCAGTTACCTTCAACATTTCTTGCCCATCGAGGAGCTTTCATTGTGAGGGAGACATTCCCTAAAAAAAAGTCTTGGTTTATTCTTCATTTATCTGGGCTCCTCAACTGCATTTGGATGAAAAAGTGGTTTTGTCTGAAGATCAGGGAGATCTTTGCAGGCCCTGATTTTCCTTGCCAGACCTTTGTTGTGCAGCAGCACATCAGTAGAGAGAAATTTGCTGAAGGTTAATGCAAAGACTGAGCAACATGGATAGAAAGAAATCTTTTAGCCCTTCTCTCTACCTCTGAGGGCAAGTTTCTTATCATTTACTGTCTCCTCTCACAGGTTATTTATTAAAACTGACTCAGATCAATTAGTATCTTGGATTTCTAGTTTTAAAATGGATTTGTTAATGCAGTGACTGTTACCAGTCTCAGCAAATACTTGGTAATGTGACTTCCAAAGGTGCTTTTAAACATTCGTTGATTAAAAAATAAGCTGTCAGTCCATCCACCACAGATGCTTAAGGATGGCAATTTAATCCTCAGAAAGCACATTTTCTTATTGGAGATTAAATATTTTTGCAAGTTAAAAGAGCTGCCGTGGGCTGAGTTGTCACCTAATTATGTCAGTCTCTGGAATGTTTTGATAAGCACATCAGAGGAGATGTTTTCATCTTGATGCTAAATCAGATCACGTCACATCCTAAATTTTACAAGGACTCCTCCTGATGAAACCTTGACTTCTCAGTTGCCCTGAGAGCAGAGCCTATTGAACCGAAGCTGAGGGGCCTCATGTTTTGTCAGGACTGAGAATGAGCCCACTTGAAGGTTGCTGGTTTGCTTTTTTTTTGGTAAAAACCCCTGGAATTCTAGGAAGAAGCTCGTGTTGGTGATAAGGAATCCAGCAGACAAAAAACCACCCCACACTGCTCAGCTCGACGAAAAGAAGAGTCTGTTTAGAATCGCAGTCAATGTGTCAATAAACACAAATCAAATGCAAATTAAATAAAAGCTTTTCATCTACTCCATTCTCCTTGAGATCAGACCAAAATAAATGCCACACAACCAAATGTTCCAGAAATAAAACCACTCTTGCAACGAGGCCAAAAAAAAAAATAATGAGATCGTCTCCGTGCCTTTCCAGCTGCTCAGAGCTGTTATTTCTCTTTGTATTGCAAGAATATTCAAAGATTTGGGTTTAAATTGAAACCAGTTGTGGCAGGTGTTGTGGAGGGGTTGCTGAAGAGTCTCAGCATAAGTGTCACTGCATGGAAATGCCAGAGCTGAGAACAGATCCCAGATATGATTTCTCAGCTCTCCTCAATAACCTGCGTTGCCTCTTCCATAGGAGAGGTCTAACCTGAAATAAATAGTTTGGGTTTTCAAGCCAACCTGCAAAGTTACAGTCATAGGATCCTGGGATTGTTTCGTTTGGAAGGGACCTTAAATATCACCCAGTTCCAACCCCCTGCATGGGGACACCTCCCAGCAGCCCAGGTTGCTCCAAGCCCCATCCAACCTGCCCTTCAACACTGCCAGGGATGGGGCAGCCACAGCTTCCCTGGGCAACCTGGGCCAGGCTCTCACCACCCTCACACCCAACAATTTCCTCCTCATGTCCAACCTCAATCTCCCTCTTCCAGTTTTAATCCATCCCCCTTGTCCTCTCCCTCCCTGCCCTTGTCCCAAGTCCCTCCCCAGCTTTCCTGGAGCCCCTTCAGGCACTGGAAGGTGCTCTAAGGTCTCCCTGGAGCCTTCTCTTCTCCAGGCTGAACACCCCAACTCTCCCAGCCTGTCTCCAGAGCAGAGCTGCTCCAGCCCTTGGATCAACTCTGTGGCTCCTCTGGACTCTCTCCAGCAGCTCCATGTCCTTCCTGTGTTGGGGGCTCCAGACCTGGACACAGCTCTCCAGGGGGGTCTCGCCAGAGCAGAGCAGAGGGGACAATTCCTTCCCTCCCTGGCCCTGATGCCCACACTAGTTTCTGGTGGTTTCTGGGCTCCAGTTCCCAGCTCAGGCCTTTTATTTTTCTCTCTCTTTTCTTTTTCCTCTGAGAAGCCCAGGAAAGATGATGCTCTGAGGACAGACCCTGCATGACTTGTAGTTTTATCTCAGCCTGTATCTCTTCTTCAAAAGTGGTAAATGATATTTCATCATCATCATCTCTCCAGGGGCTGAAGACTGACTAAAGGCAAATCACACAGGTACCAAAGAAAAAGCCCCCAGCCCAGGAAGCCTTGTTTCCTCTGGCAAATCCTGAGATCATCCCAGGATAATCTCACTGATTTGACTAAAAAGCATTAATATTAAAGCCTCCAACATGCTGTTGATCTACACGGATGATAATTAATTAATGATAAAGGAAAAGAGGGACTGATGATGTGGCCTCTTGGCTGCTTTGTCTTCCAGAAGCATTTTCATGCCATTGAATCCAAGCAATCAAGGTGTTTCATTGATAACCATGTGTGTCAAACTGGGGTGTCCATGCCTGTGCCCCTGGTTTTGAGCCAGGAACTCCTTGATGGAACCAGGCATGACCTTGCAGGGCCAAGCAGCCAAACCCTTTGGTATCTGAAAGCCCATTAATCCCACAGAAAGGTTCTACCACGCTGCTGGAAAAAAAATGGTTCTTCCCATGCCCAGCAAGCAGCTCCAGCAGAAACCTCTCCCAGTTCTAGCAGCTCGGTGGCTGGATGTGGTTTCCATGGAAATAGACGTCAGATCAGCAAAAAAACAGGGCAAGTGTTGAAAATAATCTCTGTTTTGAAAGCTTGCTGCTTTTCTGTCACAATATTAACCTCCCTCAAGGTAGGATCTTTTTCCTTTTTGGTGCAAAATCCTTGTTTTTAAGAGTCTGCACAACCAGGGTGGGTCCCTTCAGAGAAGTCCTTTTTTTGTGGGGGGTGGTATTTAGGGAATGGAGACTGTCGTGCTGGGCTGGCATCTTAGCAGGTTTGTGCTGTTCCCCAGCCTTTTGTATCAACTCCTGGTGGAACTCAAGTGACCGTAGCTTGGGAATTGTGCAGGAGTGATTTGTAAGGGACGTGCCAAAATGCAGCCAGTTCATTTAAAGCCCATTTGGGAGCAAATCACTTCTCCAGGCTTGGCAACGGGATTCCCTTGGGAAGGGAACAGCTCCCGGTGCCGACTGCAGGACAAGGATGGATCATCTTTACACAGCCATGATGTACACGCCGTGGAATCTGCTTTGCTGAAGCTGTTTTGACTCACTGGTGTCACCCCAAAGAGAGGGTAGTTGTCCCCCAAAACACACTGGGGTGATGGTCACCATGGTCTGGAGGTGATGATGGTCTGGAGGTGACCAAGGGCCTTGAGGTAGGTGACCATGGCCCTGAGGTGATGATGGTCTGGAGGTGAAGGGCCCTTGATGACTGTGGCCATTAGGTGACCATGGTGCTGAGGTGAGTTGCCATGGCCTTGAGGTGACGTTAGTCCTGTGGTGACCAGAAGCCCTGAGGTGACCAGGATCCTGAGGGAGGTGGTCCTGGTCCTGAGGTGACCCATGTTCCTGAGGGAGGTTTCCATGTTCCTGAGGTGACCAGGATCCTGAGGTGACCCATGTTCCTGAGGGAGGTTTCCATGTTCCTGAGGTGACCAGGATCCTGAGGTGACCCATGTTCCTGAGGGAGGTTTCCATGTTCCTGAGGTGACCAGGATCCTGAGGTGACCCATGTTCCTGAGGGAGGTTTTCATGTTCCTGAGGTGACCAGGATCTTGAGGTGACCCATGTTCCTGAGGGAGGTTTCCATGTTCCTGAGGTGACCAGGATCCTGAGGGAGGTGGCTGTGGCTCTGAGGTGACCCTGGGGTGACGTGGTCCCGAGGGAGGCGACCACGTTCCTGAGGTAACGACCGCAGCGCTGAGGTGACCGCAGATCAGGAGCCGGCCCCGTAGGGACCCTCAGGCCCACAACTCCGCTCCCACCGAGCCCTCCCGCGGGGCCGGGGCACCGTGACCACCCGAGGCAGCCCCGGGGGGTCTAGCGGGACGAGGGGTCGCGCAGGGCCCGTAGAACCGAGTGTCGTGACGCGGTCC